AAATTTAAGATTGCAAAATAGCGTTTTCGGGTATATTGTCAGTGGGAGTCTTCCGACCAAAAACGAAAATAAAATATATTGTGGGCTCGTTACAGATAATTTTGAGTTAGAAAAAACATTAAAAACTTTTTGGGAAATAGAAAATGTAGAGAGAGAGAGTCTAAAATTTCAAAAACTAAAAAAGCTGAAATTTGTGAAGAGCATTTTCTTGAAAATTATTCAAGAACTGAGAGTGGAAAATATGTTGTTAAAATGCCCTTTAGAGAAGATCCGTCGTGTCTGGGTGAATCTAAGAAAAAATCTTGTGTTTGTAAAAGTAAAAGTAGTGTGAATTCGTTATGGAATCGCCTTGCTAGAGAACCTCAATTTTGTGAACTTCACAAAGCATTTATGCTAGAGTATTTAAATATGGGTCATATGGAGGAAGTACAAGAGTCTGAAGAACCAGATGTGCAGTATTATATTCCTCGTCATTGTGTGTTTAGACCTGAATAAAAAAGTACCCCTTTGAGATTTGTGTTTAAAGCAAGTGCATTAAGTTCTACTGGAACATCATTAAATTGTTTACAGTACAACGGAGGTATAATTCAGGATGATTCATTGTGCATCATGCTTAGGTTTAGAAAACATCAATTTGCCTTTGTTGCTGACATCAAAAGGACTCCTTTTTATATGTAAACAGATAATTTTGATTTCTGGTTTGGCTTCTGGGTATTTTAAATGTTCACTATTGAAGGAGCTTTGTAACATCCGAATTCGATTTTATTCCGTAATAATATGATTTCTACCCCTTTTATCTTTTTTTTATTTAAATAAATTAACAAATATTTATTTTGAATTAGCAAATATAAATTTTTATTTAAATAAAAAAAAGACTCTCTTTAAGTTAATATTAACTAGGGTATAGTTAATAAGACTAGGGAAAGAATAAAGAACTGTCTTTTCCGTAAATTTTGGTATTCGTTTCTCATTAATCAACATTATTGAGGTTTATTAATTATAATTTTGTACTATAAGTCGCGCCAACGATATTTTAAAGTTAGAGGGACTTGCTTGTTTGTAAATATTTAATCAGTTCATTTCTTTTCTTTGAAGCACTTTTCAAATTTTAGATTCAATAATTTTAATCTTTCTGATTAGCATTGATGGGGAAGATGAACCTTGTAAAAAATCAATGGATTTGGGATGGAGGTATTGTACTAGCCTCCATACTCAACCGATATTGCGCTATAGGATTTCCACCTTACTTTACTTTATTCCATATAGAATAGAAAATATGGGAGATGTCCAATATGTTATCTCAAGAAATTTTGTTTTAAAATAAATTGATTTTTATCAAACTGGCATTGAAAACTTATGCACTAGAATTGAAAAAGATTTTTAAATAACATGAGTGTAACACTGACTAAAGATGAAACTTATAAAATTTTTTTTGTTGAAATTTAACGTTAAAAAAAAGAAAGATATTTTTTCCAAGTTCCTCTAACGAAAAACAAAACAAATGTATCAAAAGTAGAAATTAAAAAAAATTTATTCGACTTCAATTTATAAAGAATACAGTTATATTATGCTTAGAAAAAAAAAATAACATTTAAAAGAAATTAAGCATTTAAAATCGACTCATTCTTTTAAATAAAATTATTACTTTCCCTTCTGGTTTATTGTGACAGATAATTCTTTCTATTTATCCAATCTGTAGTGGATGACAATTGATGTTAATAGATCTTTTCCAAATATAAGTTCATTATTCCTTCGAGTTCTTTATTGCTACAAGTTATTTTCATTCATTTTTGAGTTTTATGCATATATTTAATACATTTTAAATAAAAAATGTTGGATTTTGTTATTACATTTTTCAATTTTCTTTTTGAACTCACTAATAATACATTTTTGTCTTAATACATTTTTTACTAAATACATTTTTACCTAGTACATTTTTTACTAAAATTATGTTTATGCCCGACCTTATCAAACAACGCCCAGTCAGATCTCTAAGAACTTCAGAACTGTTTGTGCTATTGAAAACTATTATAATTACTATTTTAACTCTTGAAAGCTCGAAGATATTAGTTTAGCCGCTGATACTAAAATTCGTTTACAAATTTTAATCATTCCGTTGGGCAGAAATGTTCGGAAAATGATTTTCTCGCACGACTTTAGCATTAGCCATTGTTACAAATAAAATTTTAGACTGTTCTGTTTCAACTTATACTGCACATTCAATTATTTTTTACTAGCTCAAAGATCACAAACCTCTCTGAAACCCCGTGTTTGCTTTGTTTATATGTGTGCTTTTAAAACGCGTTTCTATAGAGTAAAACAATTTTAAATCAATGGTAATTTAAATAAATAAGAATAATAAACTAAAAATTTAAATCAATAGATAAAATTTCTTTTTCGTGCAATTCCATAAAAAGTTTGATATTAAAATTATATTTGATTT